TCAGTTTACTGCTCGTTTAAACCATATCATTTATTTAATAGTTATTTACTCACTGGAACAAATTATTTTGAAACTAGTCTAACCACCTTTTGTTGGTAGTTTGAGAATTAGTATGCAACTAGGAAGTTATCATCAAATATATTTTAGAAAATTCCGAATTTATTGATAGTAAATACTAAAATACTTAAACAGTAAAACAAACACTAATATATTAATAGGCATACAACTTATTACTATTTGTAAGCAAACCTAAATATTTTCTAATCTATTTATAGGGTTCAATTAATACTTACGTGAGATTTTGTATTTAGTGTTAAATTTAAAAATATATTAAAATAGTTTTGAATTTATATATTTCTGTATTTAAAAAACGTATTAAAGAAAATTATGCATACATCGATAAAAATCAATTTATAAATAATTTCTACTTCAATTATTAAATTATTCAAATCATGGTTTTTATAACAATTGTATGGATAATTAATTTTAAAAGTAATAAATAGGTACTATTATTAATTATCAATTTAGGTTCTGGGAAAAATGATAAATGTTTTGGTTGTATATTTATAGTTTTTTTTTATTTGTGTGTGTGACGTGTTGACGTCACTTTTAGAAGCAGTAAACATCTGACTTTATACTTTGAGGGTGATTTCTAGTAACAATTTGGGTCTCTTTGGTTCTTTATGGAGTGAAAAGGAAAGGATTCAAACGGTTTTCCACAACATCGATTTTGTTTTTTTTTTATTGATGTTTATGTTTTGTTTGTAGGTTATTGTTGGTAGGGGGAGGGACACTTGTGTGTCTGTTTTGGCAGAATTTTTGATTTTTGCATCCGTAGGTATCCCGGGTATGCCTCGATGGGGGATGGCGGAACTTATTCTCCTGACACCTTGACATGCCCGAAGAAAAATGACGCCCGTGGCCGAGGTATCGAACCAGCGTCGGCTTGGTCGCATCCGACGCCTTAGTCAGATAGGCCAATCCTTCCCCCGATTTTTTTGTTTTTGTCATTAAAAACTAATAATTTTAGAAACACTAGAAACTTGAATTATTTACAAAATATTCATATTTTAATTAACTAAACAAGATATAATTTCCACAGTATTTTGTCTATTTTTTTTAGGCTTTTTGGGAATTTAATATTTTTTGTGAAATACCAACTGTTTTAAAATATATACTTATCAATTCTTTTATACAAAATACAAATTCGTTTTGAATGTCAGAGACATACGCTTAGTATAAATAGTATTATTTTGGAGAAGTGCCGTGACAAAGTTTTTTGGAAGACGTGTAAATGTTTTACCACTTCTCTTATTCGGTTATATTATTTCAAATTTAAACAGAGTTAATTGTAGAATTATGCCAAGACAATACTAGCCAATTATTTTGGAATTTAAAAATATAATACTAAAACTTACCAGTGGCATACTCATAACTTTTGTATGGGGAGGGGGATCAGTGAAAATAAACCTAACATAATATTATGTGAAAAAAAATAGGCGTATCAAGATATTTATAAGCACTAAAAAAATTTCATTAGTGTTTAACAAAATAATTGTAGATGAATTCTATTACCTCCAAATTCTAAAGCCTATTGTAACACCTATATTTATGTGATTATACATAGGTAGTTAAATTAATTACGTATGGATTGTAATATAACATATGCATGATCATTCTTATTTTATGGAACACATGTTGAACAATTATAAGGTACTATTTTTTATATTCAGTTTATCAGTTATATTTTTGACAAACCATGGAAATGTACAAACTATAAGGGTATTTTAAAACAAATGGATATTATTATTATTATAGTAGTATTTATTATAATTTTTAATCTTTAGATAAAAATGTTGAAAATTTTATAAATTTTTAACTACAAAATAATTATTCAATTTTAAATTTGATAAATTTTGTCAAAATTCGATATTTAAATGCTTATAAAAAAAAAAAAAAATGTGCCTAGGTATGTATCTTCAATAATTTTCAACTGCTATTGTAACAATATATCAGGAGTCTTGTGTTAAATGTTACACTTTTTGGCCCAACAGATACAACTTTATTGATTAAAAATTTAAATATGAAATTGTCCGTAATTAACTGTTTCCAGAAGATTTGGCTAATTTTATTTTCAACATTCAGTTAATGAGTTTTATTGATTGCATTTGTAATAGTGGGCCACCTTAATATTTTCTTATAAATATTCCATTTTAATTTTTCAAAACATATGTTCAGTTTCATTGCTTTGCTAATTTTTTGGTCCGGCAAAATATTTTTCAATAGGTATGCGCGAGTTCATGAATAATGTAAACCGTTTTTCCATTAAATTTTCTTCAAATTGAACTCAATATATTTTTTTTTTTTTTGTTTTCACAAGATATTAGACACATGACATGACATTTTAAATCAACCTAAGATAACGGATAGCGACACAAGTACTACTACCACACTGGACAAACCCAAGATGAGAACTTGTATGTCTTCTTAAAAGCTCAAAATAATCGTAATGTGTATATAAATAAAGATAATGAAATTAAAAACTTATATACCTAATAACTATCAAACATTATTTTAATTTCGTTATTAACATTAATATTACTTTCTAACTATTAATATATTATATTAATATTTTACAATTTATATAATATTTACTTTACTGGTACTATTAGTTTTCTAATTCATTAATTAAATATTGTATATTCTTATGTTCTTATACACTATTACAGTATATTAATAGTGTAGCTTATTACTTTTGAAATTGCGATATTGAATACATTTTTTCAACTTACTGCTATAGATACTCTTAAAATCAATTTATAGATAATTATTATGAATTTGTTATGAATTACATTTTGTACTATAACATAAAATATGATACGTCACATTAAATCAAATTATAATATGTTCCGTATACGTTTATCTAAAATTCTAAAGCTTACAAAGGTTTTAATTGGTTGTAAGTGTAACACCAAAGGTATATCAATAGTTCCTAATGGCTAACATAGAACAATTTATTAAACTGAATTACTACTGACTCATTGAGCAGAGGTTCGATGAAAAACCTACTCTATTATAACCACTAACCAGTTTTTGCAAATTGTTTTAAGATGTGTAAAATTATGAAATGTTTCCTTTTTTATCACCCGTCCTATAACATACGAGTTCACACAAAATTTTATTTTCAATCATTAATGTATAGGAACGTAATATCGTTAATCTCTGTTAGAAAGCCGTTATTAGGAAAACTTAGTCTATAACATTCTAAAGATGTACTTACATTATTTTATATGTGTAGTGTGTGTTATCTTGTGTTAATTTAAGTACATATAGAGAACAATAGGTACTACTTACAGTAGCTTTCCGTCGAGCGCATTTAGTCGTGTTTTGTTCCTTTGTTTGTTTAAATGTCATAGTAGTGTGAAACCAAACTGTGTTGTTTACTCACACAAGCAAGTCCAATTTTGAAAACTTGAATTCTCTCTTTCAACTGAACAGATTTAATGTGGTAAAATTGTTTACTTCCTTTGTATTTATAACATTCAGCCCTACTGAATTTGTTTATTGTATTATTATTTCTTTCCCAGCTAAATTATTTCAAAGTTAATTATTGTAGGTATATTATTTGTATATCCCAAAATTACCTTTCGATGGATTAAGTCTATTTTTTTTTTGTATTGTTTTAGGGTAACTTATTAATCGCTGGAATGTTTCAATTATTATTTGACTTGATCATATTATTTTTTGAGGTTGGTGCTACTTAAAAATTTGTTTATGTTAAAAAGTGGTTCCAAAATCTTACAAACAATAATAATATATACTGGGTCAACTGTAGTGAAAAAATTTTAAATTTTTTTTATTATAGAAATATTAAAATAGTACAATGTGGATTACATCGAATAGAGTCAATATTGTATTATAATAATTCAAATTTGTCAACAGTATTGTATATATTATTAAATGGATTGATTTATATTATACTTAGGTGCTACAATAAAATCCTTTATTTGAGGAAAATAATGTTTTTTTTTTTTTTTACAATAGAGTGAAGATGAAACTATTAGTCAATTATTTAAGGCTAAAATAGAAGTTATAGCGAAGTTCGACAAGTTATGTTGAACAAGAGTTTTCCTTTGATATACTTATTTGATAGGATTTATGTTTAACATACATCCCTTTATACAAGGATCAAGATATTAAGTTTTAGTATAAACTGTAAGAATAAGCTTAGTGCAAATAGTTTACAAATTTTATTATCCATATACGTAAAGTTATTTGGTGCAGCGTTGAAAAAATATCTAATACCTATTTCATTCATATTAATTATATAATTTTTCGCAGAATTTCTCTCATTAATTATATTTACAAATATGACTTTTCATTAAAGTTTCTACGTGTTGACTTATCCGAGGTTTATTTAATTTTAAACTTTTTTCTTATACTTTCTGTTTTTATAATGTTATTGTTACTTGCTTAAAGTTAAATTTGTTTTAATTATCTATGCCAATAATATTCAAAGTTAATAAATTGGTCCTCAACTTGAGATGCATTGGTAGATATGGTTATGGGACATTATAAATATATAGGTACATACTTTAGGAAGATTTCAATTTATTTAATGTGTATAAACAAGTGTTAGGGAGGTAGGTGCCGATATTATCGATCGGTATAAAATTGCGTAATATGACACTTAATATGGTACAGTATTTCTAAACTACTCAGAATAGCTTCAAATAATTTTGTTATGAATTAAAATTTTTTTTTGTCAATTTTGGTTTTATGTTAAATGTTTTACTACTTCTATTATTCAACTATATTATTATTTAAAATTTAAACAAAGATAATTATAGTAACGATGCCAAGGCGACACATTTTTGAATTTCAAAGTATGATACTATAACTTACTAATATTATACATTGTAATACTTACTGAAATTGTATTATAAGGTGCTCTTTCAGGCTTTCTTTCCTAACCTTTGTGAATACACATCATTTTGCCCATGTATACTAAATGTGATCGTCCAGAAGGCTACGACCTTAAAATTACGACAATAATATTGGTTGGGTCCAAGGTATCCAGGTTAAATTTATAGCAAAATATTTCAGAATATTCTTTCTCCGGTGATCCATGTAGGTATCGCACCTGAATATAGGCCCAAAGTATCCTGACAATGCTTAATACAACTTAACCTAAATGTATAGTTTTTCATTTAAAAAAAAAAAAATGTTTTTAATATTGTAACGAAACAATTGTACTGTTATATAGACATTTAAACAGGCGTTATATTATATATTCTAAATGATAGTAAATATTAAAATTGCAATTACATTCAGATTGTTTAAATAGACACAATTACATTATTGCACTGTAGAAAAACCTTGAATATTAAAAAGGACTATAATTATTCTCTACATTTTGGTTGTGCATAGTTTTATAATCTTAATTTTTTTTTATTATTAAGTATTACAAGTCAGTATAAGTTTAATATACAATTAGTGATGTATCAATAGTTATAAAATATTATTTTTATAATAATTCATTTTTAAAAACATTTAGTCAGCGTGATTCGTATAGGTACCGATAGGCACCTATAATAAGTTATTAGGTAACCGTTTTATGTTTAAATAATTTGTATTTTAAACACAATATTTTTTAATAGTGATTGTCTTTGTTTATGACGTGTGACATTTTACTCTGAAAGTTTTTAAAAATAAATGTAAAATTCTCATTTGAATGGAGTTTTGATTGATTTAACTCTATTAAATATGTTTCCAAATTTCAATAAATACAGTTTTTTGTTACTTAATAATATAACAAAATATAATAGCGTCAAAGGCTTATATTATTTGCTTACTACCACTGTTTCTACCATTTTTTGCTGAATGTGCACACAATAATTTAGTAATGATCCCCAATCCCTTGTTCCATTAAAAAATATTTTTTTCTGTATTATTATTTTTGTTGAAAAAATATGGTTTCAAATCACGATTATAATAATTATTAATATTTATGACTTATGACTAATGATTGTATGTATAATATCTTGTACAGGTTACGTATCTCTCAAAATATCATTAAAAATAACTTGTAGTACCTATATGAATATAAAAAAAAATATTGAAATAAAATTTATAATTCTTGTAATCTTATTTTTATTAATTAAATATTGTTTAAATGTAAATTATTTATTTGGGTTTTGTTTTAGTTAATTTCATATTTACCATTAAAGTTGTAAGTTAACAAATTATTTGGTTAATAAACAAGTTTGTTAAACGTAATTTATTTATTAATTTAATATCAATGAAGACAATTTTGCTCTCAAATTATAATTATTATAATAATATCATATAATACTAATTAGAGCATAGTATGAATGTAAAACAACCTAGCTTCTCTCAATTACATTTTTCTCCTTTAACAACATTCACACATCCAACATAACCTTTTTTCCTCATAAATTTTCATTAATTATTATACTTATAGTATTATGCATTTATGTTTTAGAGGTTAGGGATAATGTCCATCTATAATATCAATAATATTACATTAGACCACTAATATCTTTATTAATTTAACTTTTCAGATTATTCATATTCAGATTCATCTACTATTTAATTAAAATACAAATTGAGAATTGTTGAAGAAACCTGAAAAAAGTAAGTGCCTAGTTATTTATAATTTAGTTACCTACGTAAAATTAGTTGTAAAAATAATAGTATATTATATTTTTCAAACATGTTTTACAAAGTACAATTACCTATTCATTTTCTCTCTACATGGATATTTTATTTAAAGTGTAACTCATAATTTTTATCGAATTGATTACGTGGCCATATTTTATATTATATATTTATTTGAATTACCTTTAGACATCCACAAGTACATACTTTATTCATTAAATTACAGTCTTTAACTTAAAAATATCATTTATGATGAGGCTTGTTGGTGAAAATTGTATGTGGAAAGAAAAACATTTTTTTTTTGTATTTATTTATTTTTTTTTATACGCATGCTTGCCTTGTAAATTATAAATAAAAGAAAAACCACATTTTGTGATTTATAGTGTATGTCGAATTTTAAGGGAAAACTTTTAATACAATTATTTTACTCCAACACATTGCGTTTGGCTTAAAACCAAAAATCTTTGCGGTCAATGACTATATGTCTGCACTATCCGAACTGTTTAGAATGTGCAGAAATTCTGTGGCTTAAACATTTTTGTTCGTTAATTTTTATTGTAAAAACCGAAAAAGCGTACGTCCGATGGTGGTCTGTGTTTGTGGAAGTCTAATACCGTGTGTGTGTGTGTATCTGTGTCTGTGTGCGTCATTTCTGGTTCTTGGCTTTTACCTTTTTATAAGCGCCACTATACACATTACATTATGCATTATACCTTTTGCTGGATAAGTATATGTTTATCGCGTACTTACACATGCATTATTATATATGTATTAAGTCGCTGTAATCAAACAACATTCTGAACACAATATTGTGAAATGTTTAGCGAGTCGGAAACGTTACTCTTTCTAAGAGCCTCCACTTTGTGTGCGTGGTTCGCGTTATCAGCATACAGCTGTGGTCGACGTATAGTGCACACGCGATTTGCTGTAAATCCATCTTGCGAAGGTCACCGGCTGATTTATCTCCCATAGTCTGGTCGGTTTCTCGTTCTCGACGACCAAATGGGGAGTTTTGGACTTGCGGTATAAAATAAATGTTATTGCAATTCCAACCGAGCGTGGAAATTGTAATTCAATTTAGGAACTGTTTTTACTTTTGACTTATCTTTCCTAATTAAATCACTATCCGCAACAAATCAATCGTATACATTTTTTAACGATACCAATAACGTTATCGTATAAAGTACATCGAACACATAATAATTAATCTTACGTTTTCGTTGTGCGTATTTATTTTGTCCAGTTAAAGAAAACTGGTTTAATGTGTTGCCTATACCTAATCTTAGGTGTAAACGTTTATTTTAAACTGGTATTGGATGATCTACTTTTGTAAAATCCCTTTTTTTTCTTATAATAAATTTCCATAAAGGATATTATTATGTATTTTGATTAAAACTTTATGTTTTATTTTGGAAAAATAATAAATTATGCTTTATACTTGGGTAGTATCTGAAACATACAGAATTACAACAGCAGTGTAAATTAATTTCAATGATAGGTAGGTATAAAAAATAATCATATGTAACTATACGTCTTATTTATTAGGAACCTATAATTATAATAATAATTACGTTACTGGTAGAGTCGTGATAGATTGAAAATCGAACAATATTATCATTTCCGTTTCGGATACCTACCTATGTTCACTATATTATTGTTATTATTATTATCATTATCATTATTATTTGGGGATGTGCCCGAGACGGCGTCCAGTCCTCTTGGTCAGTGCTGCACAGCACGTTTCGCTGTGATTCTCCGAAGATCATAATATGCTTTTGATTAATATTATTTTTACCGTCGACGTGAATGAGTTGTTCTTGACCGTTTCACACCGATCACGTTTATTTTTTCCATGCCATTTTCGTTTTAATTCGTTGGTTTCTTTCCCTCTGTCGCAGTCCGCTACACGTCGTATATTATTGTGCATCCGCGGTCGTGCGTATGGTTACTCGCTCGTTTTGTGTTCGCTATATTCCATCGATACTCAGGTCGTTTATCATCCGTCGTATCGTGCACAGCGACGACATCGTATATAATAATAACGTATTTGTCACACACGGTGTTTCTTTGCTTATCGTACGCCGCGTACGTGTGACACAGTGACTTATCGATCAACACGTGATGACTGCACGTAGTCGTCTTAATATCCATATATTGCGTTACGACCGGGGTAACGGCGGTATCTGGTAACGGTTGGCGTGATCGAATATGATGGCCCTCCGTTAGCAACATCAATAATAAATTGTATATAATCAGTATCACGTTATAATAAAATCAAAAGAAAAAAATTGATAGGTAATATACATAACGATATGAGAAATAAGCTCTCGTTTTAGAGCGATTTAGTCTAAAAATTTATATTCAATACACTTTTTGCTTTCTAGATTTGTTTTGTTATTGTTCTCACGTATACAACCCCCGTGATAATTGTCCAACCCCATACCATCATAAAACTATCATATAATGCTGTGATTGTCTTGGATTATCTTACTGTCTGCAAGTGAATACGTCGTGTGTTATCACTTTGCAGTATAAGTGCCTTATCACTTTGAATTTTAGTGTCCACGGTCACACTACTGTATTTTCGCCGTCGAGTGTTGTAGACGGTATTGTAAAAGCGTCGGCGGTGGTAAAACCATCAGAAATCAACGGTGAAAATACTGCAGTATGGATACATTAATTGTCGACTCTTTTTTATTTTCTAAGCTTATTTTTATTCAATTATTGTTTCAAGTTCAATAACACATGTATTATCGACGAATTATTTTTTTCCCAATTTATTTAGTAAAGTGTAAGTGTAAGTATATGTTCCTTACATATCTGCTAATACCTGTGACACCAACACTCGTTGGGGAAATCGTACTTTTCATGTATATTCAAGGCTGGTGTCTGAAACAAAAAAAAAATAGTAAATATTTAATATTTCACCTGTTACAATTTGTATTATTATTTTTTATTTAAAATAAATCACGTTTTGCTATATACGTCTAGTATATATACGTAAAAGGCGTTTTAAAGTATTATTAGGTTTGGTAGATAATGAAATACTCGTCTCTATTCGTGTCTTGCTGTGCCTGTGCTAATTTTAAGTTTCATGCATCAATATATTTCGATACGCTCATACATTTTATGAAGCGAATCCTTGACGAGATAAATGTATGAGGGATAAGGGCAGTCGCGTGCTCTCCGAATGCAATATATCAATCGAAAAGTTTCTCATGGCTTGAGCAAGTAACATAAATATATGCATACACGCAGTAAGAAAGCTCAAACATTTATAAATTACGAGCATTTAATATCCTAATATGGATACCAATTATTATAAAACCAATAGCGGAAAAAACATATGAAAAGATTCCACATTTTGAAATTACTTTACCCAATTGTCCTTTAGTACCATCGTATAACTTGTGTGGCTACCCTATGTAAACAACGATGTTAAACAAAATGTTTCTATAACTATCTAGCTTAAGATGTAATGGACAGCGACAGTTCCAAATTTACTATCTCTGTTTCAATACAAAGTTATGTAAATGCATGCACTAATGGCATTTCGAATTTCTGTAAACTTCCCAATATCGAAATTGTATTAATGTGACTTATCTATGGATATATCCAGACAATAACAGTTTACACATCGAAGTCTAACAGTAATTTAATATTATTTCATTAATTACTATAAAACCTACGAAAATATATTTTGATGTCACATTATATTTATTTCAATAAGGTTTGATAGTAATGGTACCGATTGCATTTAATTTATAATAATAAAAAAAAACAATATAAAATAACTGTTTATTATAAAATATACATATATTTTAACGAGTTTTGATTTATGAATAATGAAAATATAATAAAGCATATTTGCACCTACGCAAAAGTAGCCACTTGTATATTAACTGTTAGAATGATATTTTTAATGTCTTTTAAAAGAACCTAGGTAAAAAATATAATTTAAATTTACCTAGTGATATTAGAAACTAAGTGTAAAGTAAAAATGAATAATACAATTTTCCATTATATTTAATGAGTTCCTTAATGAAGAAGATAAAAAATAAATTAAATATAAGTCCTTGCTTTTCAGGCTTTTCATATTTATTTGTTCCGTAATCACGGTTTATTTTATATAAATTAGTTATGTAAATATTAACTGTATTTTGGATTGTATTTATATTTAACATGCATTAAACCACAGTATTTTTTTGTTTTGTAAAAAGCTTCAACGAAAATAGTTATCTATTAACAATTATTTATGAAATTTATTTTATCTTAATACATACATATTAATCTGTACAGTTTGTTTATTTTAGACAATTTATTATTTTATTGGATCATATGATTTTATTGAGGTCCCACTTTTAATTTGGTAATTTATATAGTAGTTATTTTTTTTTTGTGTTTCCTTTGTAAAAGTAAAAACATAATTTTACACAGAATCGTTAGTCTTTGTATTCTAATTAATATACAGCAAATTATATTTTACATTTTGAACAATATCTTAATTCGATCAAATTTAATACAAGAACCATATTGTGATAAGTTTGCGATACTTACCAGAACAGCTATACAAATCTCCATGTGACCGCATTCATTCGTAAACTGGTGATGGTTGAAAAAAATTTCTTGAAAAGTATTTTATATTAATTGTTTTTTTTTTTTTATAATTAATAACTGATTTTTGATATTTAACGGGATTTTAAATATAATTCAATACTTTGAAGTACCTACGATGTAATCCAATGATATAGGTCGTTACCACCAGTTATTATTATTATAGCTCAGCTATTCTATATTTGTTATTTATCAGTAATTATTTCCAAAACGAACACATTAAAGGTATTAATGTTTATTATTATAGATATTTCATTATTTTTGGTTATACTGAGTTCATCTATAAATATTATTGATAAATAAAGCGAATCAAGTAGATACTAGCATTTAAATGTCATATAACACCAACCATTCATACTAGT